GAAAAGTATACCATCAATGGACTTAACAAAGATGTTTATTATATATGTCAAAAAGTTAGTATATACCATCAAGTACTAGAAAGATTTTGACCTTTTGCATCGTTAAAATTCAACTTTTCAAACGGGAACACAATAAGCCTTTGTCACCATTTGATTTGACTCAACAGATTTTCAATTTTAAAAAGAGAACAAAGCTGAACCAAAAAAAATAGTAGAGACTACATAATAAGCAAGTGTTAGAGAGTTATCCAAATGTGAACTATAACTAGAGTGGTAAACACAATCTCTGGGATCCCAAGTCCGATCCTTTTGAAAAACTTGGATATCCCGGAGCCTGGCTCCGGATGCTTGGTAAAAAATCCGCAGCTAGATGTCCTGACTTTATTATCATTCGGATCCGGATGATGTCCAGACTCTGACCGAAGTGGGACCAAATTCTCGAGGTAAGGAGATATAACACATATATCAGAGGAGAGATAATGAAGCTCACGTGTCTCTGGGCAATATTTGAACAACCATTGGTAATTGTTATAAAAGATAAGATCCCCCTCCTTGGAAACAGCCAGCGGCGTGAACCACATGCACCACCTTGAACGTGGTAGCTTAAAAGCTAGAAGACCATCTAGACTTATGGAGTAAGTCTTGCTCCATATTTCTTCATGTGCATTCATGCTACATATCTCTAGTCTCCAGTCAGAATAAACAGACGTAGGCGTATTGGCTATGGTTAGACGGTCATCAAGGTTGGCTATCAGGGTACTTTGCTTGACCCACTTATCCGGAACAGAGACATAATGGAACTCTTCTTTGTGAAGATCCAGTGCTAGAATTCCGTGAACACTTGTAACGAGATACGACCCAGTGGATAACCAATAGATGGATCCATTAACAGACACGGATTTTCTTCCCACCTGGGCCATATAAGTAGGTAGACTCAGGTTCTTCCATTGACCAGTTTCAACATCAAGAACATCGCATCCTTCCTCTCTAGGTAGAAGGCACATCTTCGTTACTTTATAGCTCCCCGTAACTTTGTCTCTACCAAATCCCATTACCCAATTTCCCCTATAGAAATCCGACCCTTCTCCTGAAATTAGTTACTGCAAAATCCAAAAACTATTATAAGAGAAAAAAAAAAAGAAAATACCGTTTATAAATCGGGAGGACAATGGTTCTGGGAACCGCAAGAGTTGTCCGGTCGAGGGGTTCAAAACGATGATGGAATCTGGTTCAGCTATGCAGACCAAACCGTCGCAAGTCAACAAGGGTCGTGAGTCGCAAATCATCGAGGGTCGTGCGTTGAAGCAGTGTAGATAGACGAACACTTGGTCCCCTAACCGGGCCTCGTGGATGATTCTCGGCCGGTCGCCACAGTCGCAGTTGTAAGCAGCTATTATTTTTCCACTCTTTGAAGCATTCATACGCTTTTCCACGAACATTTTCGATTCCAGGACTGATCTCCATTGTTTTGAGACGGTTTTGAATTTGAGGATTGATTTCAAGGGCAATCGAAGGAAAATTTCTTCCAGTAATTCGGGAACTATGTACATCGAATTAGAGCTTGTGTTCGACTTGTTGCATCGAACTCGTGGTGTTTTATCACGGTAATCGTCATATATAGTTACAATTTACTGTTTTGGGCCTAGTTCAGATATAAAAAGCCCATCATGATCCGAGATGACGCTTTCATTCTGTTTTGAGATTTTAAGGTTTTGAGGCCCAACTATTGAAGCAAAAATAATATTTTTCTGACTCGATAAAATCTTAGCTATTCTTGAGTTCGCTATTTTATTCTTTAATATCTCGAATTTGCTGTATTACTCTTAAATTCTATAGTAGATAAGAAGATGTTGGGATGAAACCCCAATAGCTTTCTCTCTCTTTTCTCTCTCTCAAATTTTTCAAAGAGAGAGAAAGCTGAACAATCTCTTGCCGTCCGGAATTCTTTCCGGTTTCCGTCTCCCGATAGGGATTATCATCTGGCAACTACCAGTTCTTTTCGGTGTTGGCCAGCTCTTGTCCGGCATCATTCGACTTTCAAAGCGATGATGGTCGGTTTTGCCGTCGGCGCTCCTTTGCTGCTTTTTGTTTTGTTTTTCATAAATTAGTTTTGCTTTCAATAAATCTCATGTGAGATGTGTTGGTGATAATGATTAAAGCGATTTCGCTTTTGGTTGCTTATTATCCAACCTGTTTTTCCTTTTGAGTTTGGAATTGCAGGAATCCAATTAGAGATTTGAGTTGAAGAACAAAAGTGGTTTCCGTCGCATATTAACATTGCCTTGAGCTGTTGTTTCTTTAATCAGAGTTTCGATTGTTTTTACCGGTGAAAACCCACAAGATTCCATGTTTGATTTGTTGGTCGACGTTGAATCTTTCACCGGAGTCGATGCTTGACGGCGAAGGATGAAGTCCGAAAACTTTAGATTCTCATCCAATACGTGTATTGGTTTCTCACCAATTGAAGACACGTGGTTTTGGATAGAGACAAAAGATAAATTTTCTTCTTCCATAGGTGGTTTCTCTAATGGGCTTAGTTGGGCCTAATACATTTCTGTACTTTTTCTGTTGTTGGGTATTCCATACCCCATGTAATGTTTGTTTGTTCAATAAAATTATATATCTTGTGAAAAAAAAGAAAAAAAAAAAGAAAAAGAAAAAGATAAGAAGATGTTGGAGAGAGCTTGCAGGTTTGTTTATAATAATGGTGGATTATTGAATGTATTGAACTCCACTTCCGAAGAATTTTTTTTGCTTCGAAATTAATTACCATTTTTCATTGTTGAAGCTTTGGAGGATAAATACAATCCACGATACACCTCATAAAAACATAAAACATAAGTTAGACCCTCAGCGAGCATTTTTGTTTGTTTTTTTTTCTCGCCAGCGAGCATTTTTGTTTGTTTTTTTTTCTCGCCAGCGAGCATTTTCTTAAATAAGATAGTAAAATGTATCAAATGATGTTTATATTTGGTTATTTAACACTGATTAGGAATTATGTATTTGGCTGGGAATGAACAAAAATCGATTCAACTTCTTTTTATCTGAGTATGGAAGAGTTTCAAGGTACATTGTAAACAATTCTCAGTTTGACAATCATGTGATATCTTTTATATAGTTTTGGTATTTAAGAATCGGCCGCCTATTCGAATCGGCCGCCTAGTTGCTAGGCAGTAGTATATCGATGGGAATACTATATAATTAGTAGCAGAAATAGGTTCTCTCATTAATTCCCACTTAAACCGATTAATCTCCGCCTATCTGATTTTCTTGGAATTTTTCATAAAAAAAAATTAATAAAAACAATCTATGTATTTTTAATTGTTCTACGCCTAATCCTTGATTTTGAACCTAATTGAGACCAAAATACAAATCGAGACCAAAGTGCTGATGTAATCGAGACCAAATCTACCATATTATCAATTGTATATTTGTATTATACGTGCATAATATTAAATTTTCATTAAAAAAACTAAAAATGATCAAATAATTAGTCTCTGAATTAAATTCCGTATAATCTCGAATGTCCGACTAGCACCTAGCGATATTTTGAGATTGGCCTTAAACTAGTGGTTGATCATATTTTTAGCCTAGTTTTGTTTGTTGTTGGAAGACTAGCTAAGCACGTGTGTCAAAATGTAGGATGTGGTCATTACGTGTGCAATAGATGCTAGCATAGGAAAGATAAATTCTAAAATAGTTGATGGTGAAATCAATTTACTTTGTCTTTTCTTTGTATGTGGGAAGTATGTTTCACAAGATTTCATAAAAAAAGTTAGTTTATCTCGAGAAATAAACTCTCTCTAGAAAAATCTATGAAAGCTGTCGTCAAACCACGGTGAGTGTGAGTAGAAAATTCTTCTTTATTTTAATGATTTTGCTATTTTATTTAGCATTTTTACTTAATAAATCTCATTAATGAATACCCCTATGTTCTTTATTAATGTATTTTTTTAGGATTTTTATACATATTAAAAAAAACATATTAAAAGTTTATTTTAAATGTATTATTTTTTGTAATTTACAATTTTCTGTAACTTTAAACCAATATTACAATTCATAAATAATAACAAATAAATGTTCCATACAAAATTTTTAAATATCTATTTTTTTTTATATAAAATGCAATAATAAGGAATAGAGGGAGTACTAATTAAACAAAGTTGTATCTTCTGTTGTAAACAAAAGCCGAGGTTAATTTGCCTTCCGTTTAACTTTTATTAGTACTTATTGTGCACACCAACATGTAAATAGGATGGTTTATCAGCAGATTGCAAATTGCAAATAGTACTGTATATGTAGATGGAAAGGGAAGATTTGGACAGGTGGTTGATGGTTTATTCGAAAAGCGTATGGTCTCTGTAAAAGTAGTAGATTGCAATGATATGATTGGTTTTGAGCTAATTCAAAACGAGATTGCATTGATGGTGTTAGCTGATACAAATACTAGTAGGATTCTGAGGTATCATTGTTGTATCCAAGAGGACAACTGCTTTTACTCCTGTGTTGAAAGATTCGCCTTTGATTTATATGAGCTCATAAGTTACTGGAATGGGAAAAGTGACCCGAGCAAATCCTGGCAGACAACTATGGCTATTCAACCTACCAAAAATTTAAAATATCTATTATTTTTTTAAACAATTTTTTCCCCTATAAAATACAATAATAAGGAATAGAGGGAGTACTAATTAAACAAAGTTGTATCTTCTGTTGTAAACAAAAGCCGAGGTTAATTTGCCTTCCGTTTAACTTTTATTAGTACTTATTGTGCACACCAACATCCCTAACATTATTGTTGCATCTTAAAAAAAAAAAAAGGAGTAGAAGTAAATTAGGGATTTTGGGTTTCTACGTTCGGCTTTGGGATTGTTGGAGTTGTCCAAAATTGGGCATTTTTAACCTTTGAGATGCTATCCAATATTTCCGAGGGAGTGATATCTCCGGTCACAGTCACTTTCTTTGCAGCAAAATCTATGTTGAAAGATGTTACACCTACAAGGTATCAAATTCATTAGTTATAAACCAGCTTTAGACCAAAACCGGTTCACTAAATAATAGACCAGACCGGCTCAGGTATGGACAAAATAACGAAATCATTAAGAGCCTAGAGTAAATTGGAATCGAATTCAGTTCTCTTATTAGATAATTTTCTTATCCCAACCCGAGCCAAGAATTTTATATATATATATATATATATTATTCATATATTTTCTAAACCGGAACATTTTGAAACTAAACCGATACTTAACCGAAAGAGGGAGCAAAATGGCATTCTCGTAAATAAATGAATCACCTTGCATTCTGGCCAAGTGTTTCCTAACTTTGGCTTCACAGCCTCTGCAGTGGAGAGACACTTTAAGATTAACGACCTGCTGCTTCAGAAAATGCAACTCTTATCACCATTTATTTACATTTATGCCACTAATGATGCTAACAACTAAACAAATTACCTGGTCCGAACCACCACAAGTTGTCTTCTTCTCCGTCAACGTTATGTCTTCACCAGCAGGAGCTTCAGCTTCTACCGTCTTAGCCGGATTCCGACCTGTAGACCCGGAAATAGAATCCGGGTCGGATTCCAAAAGATACCTTGTAGAACCCACAGGGGTTTTGATTAAGTCACATGCTGGTCTCGCAACACAGCTGAAACTCTTCCTCGCTAGGCCAATGTCATTGGTAATAAGCTTCAACAACGCCGCTGCTCCGCCTCCCCCGCCACCACCCGTGCTTCTCCGGCCAGTAATGCTTATCCTGCCTTTATAGATCTCTAGTTTTTTGTTACTCATCTCTCCGTCTCCGCCAGAAGCTGGTAGTTTAATGAAGTCCTCGGCGAATGATCTTCGGCCATCTTTAATGATCGGATTGTGGCGGTCTATAGCTCGGCCGCTACTTGGTTCATCGTCTTCGGTGGTGGTTGATTTGTGAACGTGATCCATGCTTGAACATATGGCTGTTGATGCTTGCGAAGCGCAAAACATACGTCCCTTCATTATATGGAGAAAGAGAGAGTGAAGAAGTGATAGTAAGAAACCAAAGTAAAAAACACCAAACTTTTGTTAGAACTTGAAAGAAATTGTTGATGATAGAATGTTAATATGTTTTATGTGTATATGAGGATGTCTTTACTCGTATATAGAGAGAGAATTGGATTTGAATAGAGACAAGGAAAGTTAAAAGAGTGTAACGCTCATATGGTAAGAGTTATTTGTCCATATATGTAATAAGTTGTTGAGATGGCCTTTATAATTTAGTCGGGTTCCCGATTTTGGAGTTTTATGGTAAAGTCTATAAGAGACAAGACACGGTTACAAATATGAAAAGAAGCAATAAGAGTATATAAGACTATTTAACTTTGTTATAGATTTGGATGGATGCTAATCACGGATCACATTATACCACAAACTAAACTAACGTAACATAATCAAATTCATGAGGAAAAATATATAGCATCGGAGACAAATGCTATATATTAACACTGATAAATACAAATATTTTAAAGCATTTAGTTAAGTATTAATTGTTAATGTATTGCATGCTCACTGTCACTAGATGAAGATGCTGGGCGTGGGACATCATCCTTCACGAGGCTTTTGGCTTTATATTCCAAATCTTACTTCAATATTTTTTGTCTGTTTTTATTAAATAATACTCCCTCCGTTTCGTTTTAGTTGTCGTTTAAGGTTTTCTCACACAAATTAAGGAAGACATTAAATTTTCTGTTTTACCCTTTATTAATATATCTTATAAATTTTTTCATTGGCCAAAACATTAAAACAATAAGGATAATACTGGAATTTTTACCAAACATTTGTATTGAAAACCTAAAACGACAACTATTACGAAACAAAATTTAAGTCCTAAAACGACAACTAAAACGAAACGGAGAGAGTATGATAAATGAAACAATCTAACTGTGTGAGAGAGAGACGAGACAGATAACAACGGTCAAAAATCTGACAAAATGTTGTGAAATGAGTATTAATGGAGCATTTCCTTATAAATGGACAACGTGATGCATAAATGTTAGAGCCAGACACAGACAGAGCAATTTGTAGAATTACCATAATTTATCTATCTTGTTCTCAGCTTTTCACTAATTAACTAATGTGGATTGTTTATTGAGATCTGCAACAATTGGAAACACCAGGAATATTCTGTGTTTGGAATCTTTGGATGTATAATGCAAATGAGGGTATATCCGAATTTAACCTCTAAAACCTAGTCTTTAGCCAAAATTGAAAATTCAGTTCAAACCGTTTACTAAACTATCGTTAAATTTGACTCAATAATAATTTATGAACTGTTGTGTTTCTTAGAGCATCATTATAGGGAGGATCTTAGCAAAATCTTAGAATAAAAGTGATTACATTTAATCAATTTTCACCTTTAACACTAACAAACGTTCATTAGCTAAGGAACAAAAATTGGCTTAAGAGACGTCCACGTGGCACGTGATCATTGGGTGTTATTTTTTTCTTTCTCTCTCTCTCACTGAAATCGCGATTTGCGACAGAGAAGAAACCAAAGTCGATTTGCGAATTTCAACTTGAATCGGAGGAATCTCCGACCGCTGGCCGTCGTTCTTCCGTTTGGCCATCATCTCCACCGACTCCGGTTGCTCACGGCGTCTTCGGTTCACCAACCCAGCGAGGTTGGGTTGCGAATTCGGGGAGAAAGTCACCGGATCTCCCTCCACACTCCGACTTGGTAAATCCCTAAATTCATTTGTCTCTCTTTTTCTGCTGTTGGTTTTTGTTGCTGGTTCGATTTCTTATATGGTTACTTCTAGTGGATTCTTCAGCTTCACTGCTTTCTGGTAAAGTCACCTTTTTTTTTGTTCTGTTTGATTAGAGTTTAAGATATTGAGTTCTTGGATTAGTGTGGAGTTTTAGATGAATCGTATAGATCCAATCCCGAGAAAGTTGTGTCAGAATCTGAACTCTTTTTGTTACCTCTGGATTTTAGTGTTTAGGATTTTGAAGCAATTTTGAGTGAGTTTTAGACAAGTGTGGCTTTATTTGTGTATTGCTTCATGATTGTGGATCTATCTAGGATAGTTGTGTATTGCTTCATGATTGTGGTTCTTTTGTTATTTGAAGTGCAAAGATCTTGAAAACATCTGATATGTGAAATCTTTGATTCTGTGACAATTTAGCATTCATTCTCAAGCATATGTAGAGGTCTTTTCGCGTGTTTGTTATCGCCTATATGATCTTACAATTGGAAGATTTGGTTGCAGCTATCTAATAGCAGCAATGGGTTTGCAAGTCATATGGAGTTTCGGTCTTGCTATACTAGACACATTCGCCTTAGTGAGAAAGAAAACGCTTCTTAGTCCGGTTTTAGTCAGCCTATTTGTAGTTGGAGATTGGGTAAGAGTAGACCCTCTCTCTGTCTGTCTCTCCTCTCTAGTAAATCAAACAAAGATCATCAAAATGCTAATCATTTTGTATTTTCGGGTTTAGGTAACATCGACATTGTCATTAGCAGGAGCATCATCAAAATGCTAATCATTTTGTATTTTGGCGATTTAGGAAGCTGCAGTTTTGAAGCAGAGTGTTGGAAATACCAACTCTCTGTAGCTTTAGCTTTCCTTTGTTGGATCACAGTCGCCATTACACCATTTTGAGATTTTTGATTCTTTGTTTTGTTAATAGAATACCATTACACCATTTTTAAACTCTCAGTGTATAAAGATTACTCTTGTTTATGAAATTATGAAAAAATGCTCTCATTTTTATTAAATTATGTGGGACATTTTCAATTATGGATTATTGTACTAAAATAGATAGTATCTTACGTTTATAGGCAAGGCAAAATTGTAAGCTAATAGGCAAGGCAAAATGTGATTATGAATTTTTGTTTTGCATTTGAGAAGTTGTTGATGTGATTATGAACTCTCCAAACACCAATTACACCAAATATACCAAACACCAATTACTTTGCTCCAATACATCATATATGTTAAAAATTTATGTCATGTATGTTATAAATTGTATCTCATTTATGTTTTAATTTTTTTTAATTTGCAACAATTATTAAATTTTCTATAATTATAAATTTTATTTTTATATTAATATTTTTTTTCTAAGAACCACATGTTAAGAACCTACCATTAATCACATAAAAATCTTAACTCAAAAATACTATCTCTTAACAATCACTTTTACAAATAAATTATTTAAATATTACTAAGATCTATCTCTAAGAAACCACCTATAATGATGCTCTTATTTATAAAGTTTTTAAGAAATCAGTTAGGCTTTGCAAATATGGGCTTTATATGTTAGAAATGAGGGGGTTATTCACAATTCGGGTTTATGTATTGATTAAAGCCCATTGGGCTAAAGTTTCAGTGTAGCAGTGATGTTTCCGGCTACGACAATATGTCCACGAGATGCGAGACAAGGCAAAGGCAGTGCTAACTTAAGGACCTTATCAGTAGCGGAAATCCGAAAATATATGTTTATTTCTTTGCATTCTATGTAACGAGTCTTGCGTTTTGGATTAAGCAGCTTGATCGTTTGTATAGTTTTAGATTTGTTAGAGTGTTATGTTTTGCTTTTGAGTGCTCATATTGATATGTTTCAACGGATCAGAATTTGAACTTTAAATGTGTATTACGGTTTTGCATAATGATTAGTGGTTTTATGATAATGTAGCAAGGTGGTGAGAAAATCAACATTATGTTGCCTTTGATCTTTTCTTTAATCCAAGAAAACTCGAAACAGCTCACAAAACAGCAATTGTTTGCTTACTTGTGATTGTAACAGAGTTGTTTGGTAAACATATCAATCACTCCTATATTCACGTAGTTTGTTCTCTCTTATTAATGCAAGAAGATATTTTTGGCAAACTGATGTGACATTAGACATCGTGTTACTTTGAACCTATGTCTCTTTGCCCTTCTCAAAACATACAAAAGTAAACTCTTTTGGAAGATGCTACCGGATTTTTCTCGGAAATGGCACCATTTGTTTTGTAGACCTTGGTTTCTGCTTTTGTCCCATCACATCCTTTCTTGAGGAATGTTTCAACATGCATTATTAATAAAGACCAAATGATAGAATTAGAAAGAGATGTACTTTCTTACGCTGAATTACGTGTTCTATGTTAAGTTAAACCAAGTAGTCCCTACTACATATGTTCACTACAACAATAAACTTTGTTCTTGTCCAACTCTTTTCCTATAGGATTTGACTAACTTGAGAGATGTCAACATTGGACATTAAGTGATTCTATCTAGCTAATAGGGCATGTCCAATCCAGCTTGGAGGATAACAAAGTCTTATGATTCTAATCCATATTCAATGTTCTTTCTTTTGGTTAGGTGTGTCGGGTCAGGACTCAGGACTCTAGACAAAAGCTACAGTAGAAAACGGAGCAATCCATTAGAGTCGAGAAAAGCTTTCCGGATTAGGGAAGAAGACAAGCTTATCAACAGACAAGTTGGTGGTCCGAAAACTCATACCTTGCTTCTGATTACGAAAAGCCTTTCTCTTTTTGTCATTGTCTCTCTGTCTATTTGCTTCCAGTATTTTTGACAAAGAGGTCCAAATTAACTTGTGGTCTCATTTCACATATCACATAATATCCCACATATAATAATTTGCGCGAGAATGTGGCTCATATTTGATCTAAAGCTGAATTATATCAATGAATGAATGATTGAGAAGCAGAGAAACATAAGAGTTTTTCTATAAGTGAGAGATGGATTTTAGTAGTTAGAGTTTATTGTTTAGAGAGTTGAGAAGTGTATAAACAGTTAAAACCAGTTATGTGGGTTCCACGTTACAGACATAATTGATGTTCTTCTTTTATTTCCATTTTAGTTGGAGACACAAGATAACTCTTTTTGAGTCTTTAGCTTTTGTGAAATGTCCCCAAAATATATTAATTAATAATTGCAGTTTCTATGAGTCTGTGTCTCACATGTTCGAATCTTGTTAAAGAAATTAATCGTACGAATAGACTGACAAGATTTTAGTCGTCGATTAGGTCAACGGAACTGTGGAAAAGCTCACTTCATCTTCTGGTTCCTGTTATAGATCATGTCGATTTTTGGACTTTACTACGAGGGGAACTGTTTATACTATATATATAATATGAAGTTGAATTGAACTTCATAATAATAAACTAGTGTAACAGTAATACGATATATATTTTGCAACTTGACCTAACTTTAATCACTAGATATATTAGTATAGTCAAATTCAGATGGCCTTTTATTAAAATAGACCAATTAATAAGATAATTTCTAAAACAAATTAAGATTTTTCGATTTAGTTACTTACAAGATTAATACAGTTTATAATCTAAATAACTTTTGAAATTTTATGTCATTTATCAACTTTTTATTTAAATATTACGTTAATTTAACTAATAATGTTATAAACACCACTT